GGGCTCAATCCCAAAACCCTGGGATCATGACCTGAGCCAAAGGCAGACGCTTAACTGACTGAGCCACCCAGGCTCCCCAAGGAAGGAAATTCTGACACATGTTGCAACATGGATGAACCTGGAGGACATCATGCTAAGTGAGAGAAGCCAGTCACAAAAAAACAAATACTGTATGGTTCCCCTTAAATGAGATACTTAGAGTCATCAAATTCACAGAGTCAGAAAGTAGAAGGGTGGTTGCCAGGGGCTGGGGGAAGGGGCAATGGGGAGTCAGTGTTTAACGGGTGTGGAGTTTCAGTTTGGGAGGGTGAAAAAAGTTTGGAGCTGGATGGTGGTGATGATTGCATAGTGAGTGGTGAGTGGTTTCTCAGTGCCACTGAATTGTCCACTTAAATATGGTCAAGATGGTACATTTTACATTATGTTCACTTTACCACAATTTTTAAAAATTAAAAAAAAAACTTTTTAACGACTGCAAAGCATTTAACACAATCTGGCATATGGTAATCACTGGAAAAAATAGTAGCTTTTATTGTTATTTTTATGAAAGTAACTCACACAGTATCTGGCATATGGTAGGCATGCAATAAGTATTTGTTGAATTGAATCAAAGCATATCAGATACTAAAAAATAGAATCTACTGTTCTTCCTGGATTCTGAGTTAGAACACAGCATCCCTTTGTTTAGAAGACTGGTGCCTTTCAGAAAAGAAATTGATGTCATTCATCTTTGTTTCACCCTCTTCTCCATCACCTAACAAATGCTTTGAACATGGTGGGCCTCTGACAGACGCTTGTTAAGTAAATACACATCCTGTTGTAGGGTATTAGTCTGGAACGCTACTGTATGGTGGACATTAGAGCTGGTTTTATCCTGCCCTCTTCCTAACCCATCCACGCACACTTCTTTTTACGGTAACTGTGGGGAATCCATTCCTGCCTCATTCCATTCAACTCATTCAATCCTTCAGACATAAAATTTCTGTTGAGTGTTAGCTATTTGCCAGACATTGTACAAGACTCTGGAGATAGAGCAGTGAACAAAATGGTTATAGTCCCTGCTTTTATGGAGCTCAGTATTGCAGAGAAGAAAAGCACCGAACAAGTCATTAATCGCAAATAGTTCTTTATGGATGATGGGGTATTCTGTGTAGATACTGTAGAAGGTTTTTTGAAATCTATTGTCCATCCAGCAGTGGAGAGGTGTACTAACATTCTCTTTATGTTGGAAACACTAATGTTTTTACACCAGAATTGTTAGGTACCTTTAACCACTTCAGATCTGTGGTTATTCCCATTTAGTTCACATTAGATTGAGCAAGACCCCATTAAAATGTGATTTAGAGACATAAAATTCATTAGGAAGATGATTATACATCAGAATGCCAAAAGGAATGATTTAATTTCTTCTCTAGATCATCCCACTTGGGATTTTTTTTAATTCCATAAAACCAGTATTTGACATAACATTTTGAAAAATGAAGAAAGGAAAATGTGTCTGAATTATAACCAAAGCTCTGATTCAAAGTTTTTCAAAATGTTCTCTAAAATTACATGAGGGGTTCCAGTTTCTAGGTAAGATGAAATAAGCACACTCTTCCTAGTCTCTCCTATTAACTATTGCTATAAAACTGAGTGGAATGTAGCTCCTTGAGGACTCTGAAAAATACATAATGGCAGTAAATGGGGATGAAGAAGAAAATATTAAGTACTAGCAAAGCAGAGATGAGTCCTCCCATTCTCTCACTGCTTAGCCCAGATGTGGGTGCATCCCTAGAAATGCAAGGCAGTATGGGATAACTAAACCCCCAGATCTGGACTGTAAGACCAAAAAGGGGCTTCCCAGAGGACTACAAAGTACCCCAAATATTGTAGAAAGGGAGAAGCCTGGGAAAGTGACTCCATAAAGTCATTTATGACCTCCTGAACTTCTCTACACAGAAAAGACTTGGAGAACCTTGAGACAGACTACTGCCTAGTCCAGATCCCACACTGGCCATTTGGTGGCACACACAAAAGACAGATCTGACAAGCACTGCAAAGCTTCTAAAAAGTGAACTGATACTGGAACCACAATCCACAGAAAATGGATAAGAACGTTTATCCTAGGGGCGCCTGGGTGGCTCAGTTGGTTAAGTGTCTGCCTTCGGCTCAGGTCATGATCCAGGGTCCTGGGATCCAGCCCCATGTTGGGCTCCAGCCCCGTGATTGGGCTCCCTGCTCAGCAGGAAGTCTGCTTCTCCCTCTCCCTCTGCCCCTCCGCCCAAGCCTGCTCTCCCTTTCTCTCTCTCAAATAAATAAATAAATAAATAAATAAATAAATAAATAAATAAATATTTTTTTTTAAAAAAAGGGCTGTTTCTCCTAAACCTAACTAGCTTGTTTGCCTGCTAAAGCAATGTCATCTTTCTTTCTTTTTTTTTTTTTAGAGTAAGAATTAAATAAAAGTATGATGGCAATGGATGAACACAATGTGGTCTATCCATGCACTGAAATATTGCCCAGCCATATATATAAAGGAAGCATATCCAACTGTGAAAGTACTTTTAAGGAGAAAGCACAGTACTGAGACACAAACTAAAAAGAGGTGAGTGGGGCCAGGGAGCAGGGGATTACTCCAGTGTTGGCTGGGGGTCTTCCCAGAAACAGTCGCCATGATGGAATTAGACCATGACAGGTTCTGGGTGGAAATACTTGTGAAGGATAAAGGGAGGAAGCCAGGGGAAGAGAAGAAACCTTCAGATGCAGGCCTAGCTGCACCGCAGGCGAGGGGAAGGAAGAAGTCGGGGGGAAAGCACCTCGGCAGGCAATGCAAGTCCCAGAAAGGTTTGGCCAGTCTGGCGAGGAGTTCTTGAGCCAAGACTGCCCATCAGAGGAATCTCATGCCTTGCAGGAGTGGGCGCAGTGCGCTAATGCCCTTGCCGGGCTCAGGCCTCGCTGGGAACAGGAAGGGGAAGCATAGTCTCAGTGTGAAAGCACTGAGTGGCAGCAGCCAGCGTGGTCAGTCAAGTGTGTTCCCTGCTGGACATCCCAGAGGTCACTGTCATGGCGGCCATGCGTGTTTGGGGAGCAGCCTGCCATGACTTCCATGGGCCGTTCTCCCTGAGGAAAGTTAGTGATTCAGACCAAGGCCTTTGTCACTGCGCTTGGTCTTGGGACTGTACCTGGTCTCATTCTTTCCTCCACTCCTCATCCTATAGCTCCTTACCTGCAGCCATCACCTGAGCTGCTCTGGAGAGCTCACCTGGTGCCGTGGCCCAAACCTTCACTCTTGAGAGGTATGAACTCTTGCAAATCACACCTTTCTCAGGCCCAGATTACTGCATGTGTTCATTCACAGTTTCAGGGGGGACAAGGGAGTGTCCCCAGGTAGATTCCCTGTGTTGCACACATATTCCTCCCTGCCCCCATTGCATTCAGGCACCCATGCCTCTTCCTGCCGACCAGACCAGTTACCCACACTAGTATGGTGATTTCCCTTCTCTCCTGCTTGTCTGGGCACAGGTGTCCAAAGGGTCCTGGCATAGCTTTTGACCGCCACCCCCCCGCAGTCAACAGCACACACCCCCTGTGGGGACCAGGACCTACAAAGTTGCAATCACTTTCTGTTGTCTTAAGCAACCAAGTTTGTGGCACTTTGTTACAGCACCCCTAGGAAACAAATATAAAAGGTAATATATAGTTTGAGACCCACCAGATCGAGAGAAGACAACTGTGCAAGCCACCGGCGGACAGTGGTCCTGGCAAAAGGAAGACTAAAGGCAATGCCCCGTAGACCAGGAAGGGTGCAGGTAAGCTGGAGGACCTGAAAAAGGGCACAGGTTGGAGTTGAGAACAGGGAGGTGAGCAGGGCACAGACCAGGCAGGTCCTGCAGGAGTAGAAGTGGAGGGTTTAGACCAAGTGCATTGGTGCATTTTACCCAAAGGGGTGTTATGATCCAATTTAGCATAGAAACTATTTCACTTGGGGCTCAGTCTGTTAAGCAACTGCCTTCAGCTCAGGTCATGATCCCAGGGTCCTGGGATCAAGCCCCGAATCGAGCTCCCTGCTCAGCGAGGAGTCTGCTTCTCCCTCTCCCTCTGCTTGCCACTCCCCCTGCTTGTGCTCTCTCTCTCTGTCAAATAAATAAATAAAATATTTTTTGAAAAAAAGAAACTATTTCACTTAAGTCCACTGTGACAGGGAACAGATTTGGTGAGAAACTGCAGGATTTTGTCTTCTTTCCTAATGACACTATATTAGCCTAAGTTCCCTAGAAAATAGAACTGGAGGCAAGGATGAAGGTGCTAATGTTGAACTTGGACGTGCATTGAGGTCCTCTGAGCAGGACATACTATGTATCCATTATAGATACATGTCTCTTGGGAGACCTGTTGTAAGAATTAAATAAAAGTATGATGGCAATGGATGAACACAATGTGGTCTATCCATGCACTGAAATATTGCCCAGCCTGAAAAAGGAAGGAAATTATTTTTTTAATTTTGTTTTATTTATTTATTTGAGAGACAGAGTGAGCAAGAGAGAGAGAGCACACGAGCAAGGGCAGAGGGAGAGGGAGAAGGAGAAGCAGGCTCCCCGGCTGAGCTGGGAGCCCAACGC